AGTTGTTTGTCCATCTCTTTTCACCCCCCGTGCTCTCGTCAGTGTCTAAGCAGTTCATAGTTTGGCCTTTTCCCATATGTTGTCGAGGACCCAAGTTCTCCCCAGTGATTAACTTTAAGAAGTGCCAAATGCTGTGTATGTCCTCAACAACATATGGGAAAAGGGCAAACTATGAACTGCTTAGACACTGACGAGAGCACGGGGGGGGGGGAAGCCCAAATAGTGTTTGGAGCGCCTGTAACACTATTAGGGGAGCTGTTGTGTGTTTGGAGTGCCTGTGTCTGTGTGTTTTCACATGGTCGCGATAGGCATTCCTTGGGCTGAGTTGTTCTTGGCAGAGAGGGTGGCGTGGACCTAAAGTCTGTTGAATTATGCTTGGGATGTGAGTATGCGATGCTCTGCTTTAGTCCTTTGTGTATGAGAGGTTGGGGGGCACCTATAGTCCTTGCTGGTGATGCCTTGCTGCTTGGCTGCCATCCGCTTGATGCACGTCGACTTTGTGGTGTGGATGCCTTGTCAGTGCAGCCGTTTCACTTGCTGCCTCGCTGCCTCGCTGCCTTGCTACCTGGCTGTTGACTTGCTGCCTCGCAGCTTGGCGCTTCCATGCTGCCTTGCTGTCGGGCTCCCCTGCTGCTTTGTTACCTTGCGGCCTACTGCTCCTAATGCTGCCCTACTGCTAGCCTTCCTGTTTGCCTGTGTTGAGCTTTCCTGCTTTGTAGCCCCGCGGCCCTGTTGTTGCTTAGCTGCGTGTGCCTCACTGCTTAAACTGACTTTTCGTTAAATTTGAAATATTTTGCTCGCGCAACAAAAATTGAACAAGGATTTTTTTCCCTCTTTTTGTGTGTTTGCTTTTCGATTTGGTACCGATAACTTAGTGTAAATGGCAAAATGCACCGCCTGCAATCTGGAAGGGTCACAAGTGACAACAAAAAAATCCTTGTTCAATTTCGTCGCGCCAGCAAAACATTCCAAATTTAACAAAAAGTCAGATCTTTGGGCCATGCTGACTTTCTGCCTTACTGCCTCGTTGCCCACTGCTCAGTGCTCACGTGTCTTTTCCCTGCATTGTGGATGCTACCTTGCTCCCTTGTTGCCTGCTGCTCATAGTGCCTTGTCGCTTTGCAGCCCACTGGCCTACCCGGCGGCCTCCAGCCTATTTGCCTCGGCGGCCCTCTTCCAGTGCTCTGTTGCTTCGACCTTACCTCGCTACTTGCAATGACATCTGTTGGCCGTCCAGTTACAACAGGGGGGTTAAAGGAGAACATGGCACAAAATGTCGATATGGGGATAGGGAAGACCGTCCGTTGAGGGTTCAGTCTCCTGACGAGTCGGTGCAATTCCAACAAAAATAGCCTATAAGTTATAACCACCCTGTCTTTAGTTTCTCCCTATCTCTCAGCTTCCTTGCTATGTTGTCCCTTTTGCGTACTCACACACTCTATGTGCGTATTCCATATAAACGTTTGCATCTGTGGGTTGAATGAGATATGATGTAAACCAGCAGAGTGCTTTTCCATTCCTGAGGGAACTGGTAAAAGACCGGCGGAGCGCTATTTCTATCTCTTGTTTTTTTTTTTTTAACCTCGTAGTTCATGGCTTTCCACAGGAGATCGCTGTTTGCTGGAACTGCCATCTGAGTCAGGCAATCCACAAGCGCTTCATCCGTTTCGCAGGCTGAGGATATCCCTCAAAACTTTGGACCATTTCTTGATTTTTGCCTCTGTCATCTGAGTCGGTACAAGCTTACTCAAAAGTGATCAATGACATCATTGACATGTGCTGTCGGTACACAGAGCAACAGTCTAGCATGCTATGCAGACAATTGGAACGTACAAGAGCACACACACACACACACACACACACACACACACACACACACACACACACACACACACACACACACACACACACACACACACACA